TCACTGGTGGAATCCCTCGGGCAGGGCTGGTACCAGGACCGCTACCTCCCGCAAACTGACAGACATGTAATGAGAGAAGATATAGAAAGAGTTCAGTGGAGAAGCCAAAGACGGCCTTTAAGCTGTGTTAAAAGTATGAAGAGAAAAAAACTGAAGCGTCAGGGTGGAGAGCAGACTGCCACATACGCAGGATTTTGTTGTTTTTAAAAAAAAAAATGGTTTGCTTGTTACTCACCTCAAAATAATCACTAATTTTATGACCCCTTCCCCCTGCTTTGCCTGAAAAAACAAATTCAGAGATGGTGATTTCACAATGTAGTGCAATGGTTATATCTGAGAGGAGCTTCGCAGCAGAGGGCCAGGCCTACCTTGGCTGCTGTCAAAGTGATCTGCTTTCCGTTTCCTCACCCTCTGGTCATTCGCTTTCTTTTCAGGTGTCTGTTTAAATAACATGGGTCAGTGAGGTAAAATACAGAGAAGATCTTAAACCAAACCCTGTTGATGTGTGATGCAGACAAACCTCTAGCTCCTTGTCACTCAGTGAGCCCACGCTGCATAGACTCTGATTGGATGACTCATTTTGATTCTGACCTGAACCCTGTTGGAAAATTTAAAACACACAAAAAGAAGGCAGTGTTAAAAAAAAAAAATAGCAAAGTACAATTAATTTACATGTAGAATGTTGTGTTTGTGATATGGGTGAGACAAAAATCCAATGGACACTGTTAACTTTACACTGAGACAGGACCTGCATCAGTTTGAATTCTTGTTCCCTAGGTGATGCCTGTCAGTCAAATGAATAACATCAGAATTCAGCAGGCACTGTCCAATCACAAGGAGGCACTTGTTCATTCAGAGCACACTGGAGCTCTCTCACTGAACCCTCCTAAAATGGCTGAACAGTAGTCATGTTGCTAGGGATGTATTCCTCTGTCTGTCACCTTTGGATAATGTCATCCATTTCCCCCTCACGATAGCACTCTCACCTCCTCAGAAACACGCCGGAGTAATGATGCAGGGCTCGATTTAACAATGGCTGCTCGCACCTTTAAGATGTACCATATCAGACATGCTTGAAATCAAATTCACTTTCAGATAGTTTTAAGAGGAGCTGGCGTTCCATTACCAAAGGGTTTGTCATCGACTTGCTGAAGAAGGATAAGGACTTCCTGTATTTTTCTCTCAAGTCACCCATGTTAGAGAGCAGCCGTTGCTCAAGGTCAAGATAAAAGCCCGCTCTTTTGACACCAAGACCACGAGATCCTATTATTCATGACATTTCTTTTAATTCAATCACCCCACGTACAATGCATCTCTTGTCTTTCGAGACATCAAGCCAGGGCTGCTATGGTTTAATGCCTCAGAAAAAGCTGCCATTTTCTCTGCGGCAGCAGCCATGCCATGCTCTGGGCTCTGCTCTGCCTATGGCTGGCACGGGGCCCACTCCTGGCGCTGGTGCTCACTCTCTAACTTGACAAAATGAGGGTGAACTACATAGCAAGAGTGAGGAAAGTGAAATAGTGCCTTCAC